CTTTCAGACTTGCCAGATTTATATCAGCCTTACCAGCTAGACCAGACAGGAAACATGACTAGATAAACTAATTCTACTTTATTGTAAAGCTACATTAACAGAATCTTGCAAGTCTGAAAGTACAAATCTCCTGCCGTCTCCTTTATAGCCTGAGAAACTCTGGAGGGTCTCTTCTGAACCTCTTGGTCCACCCACTATCCAGCTGTGGGCTATGCCCTCTCTTATCTGACCGTTCCCTAGGCAGTATCTCTTCGCCCCGTCTCTCAAGGTCTTTTGCGTATACCATTACAGGGTGGAATGTACGAAGACCAAAGTTGCAAAACTGATCTCTAATTTTAAAGACTATCTTTGAATTGTGCTTTTTAATGTGATCATATGGGAAATTCTTAAATATACTGGGAAGAAGTATATTAACTTATTTAATATACATTTAATTTAAATCCAGGTTAGGTCAGACCCTGCCCACTTTGGTGAGTCAGTCCCCAGTATACCACTCAGTCGACAAATGTGGCCTCACTCTGAGAAAGGCCACACATCCCCATCCTAGGCTACAGAATTCCATTTTTTGAGAAGCCCTCCTTTATCCCATGCCTAAGGGCTTTCTCCTAGTTTGCAAGCTCTCTCTTGTGGTAAATATTTTGTCTGCCAAATCACCAATATTTTAAATTGCTATTTAAAAAACTTTAAAACTTTAAAAAACTAAAAATATTCAAGTTTTTAATCTACTCTCTTAGATTTATTTTGTGAACTTTTAAAATTGTCATTCTTAATCACCATGAACATATAAGTAAAAAAGAGAGGGGGATAAATGAAACATGGTCCTTTAATATTCTGAAGGCAAGCTTTGTCTCAAAGATAGACCTGATAGTAAAGGGAGGGGAATGACTGTGGAAAAAGAGCAGCTAATCTCTCATACTTAGGTAGTAAGTACCTTCTAGGTGACTGATACTCTGCTGCTGCAGTTCTTTCTCTTGTTTGAGCCGACATACTGCTTGGGTGAGCGACTCTATAACCTAAAGAGGCAGAAGGGAGAACCAGAGCCATAGTATTAGTAAACTTTTCCTAATCACAAGTTCTCAAAACTTCCCAAAATGAAAAAGATCTGAAAAGTCACCTAAGTGACTAAGCGATTAGGATATTTATAATTTCCCTCCTGGGCATTCCCTTCCCACTTTGAATTTAATTCTTCCTTCCATAGCTTTCATGGGCTTTCCCTCTATCCTCTCCTAAATGTGGCCTTTTCTGGTGGGCTAAACTAAGGCAACAACTGGACCAATCTATGAACAATGGCCTGGTTCACATATAATATTAAGCCAGTTTTTCAAAAGCATAGTCTATTAATAAGCCATTAATATTTTGGCCCAACAGAATACTAAGCTATGATAGTTGGACTCACACATTGCACCCAAACAATGTGGGTGCAAATTTACTTGGCTTGAAGGCTACATTAGGTTTGTGAGGCATATGAATGGCAACATCTGCAAAACAGGTCAGTCTGCAACTCAAAGAGAATCCAATTCTGGAGGAGGTAGAGATTTTTATGCTGCAAATAGATGCTTTAACCTCTACAAAGCTTAAAGCATCCATCTGCATTTTAACATTTCCCCATCCACTCTTAAAAATGGGTTGGATTTTTGACCCTGCCTACCCTGGAGGATTTCTAGATGCCACAATAGTAGTGTTGATAGATTGCATAGGCCATATTTTTTGCAATCTGCACCAAGCCCAAAACAAAAACCACGTTATAACTTAGCATTTGATGTATGAATCAGGCTCGTAATAGCTAAACAGTAACTTGGAACCTTTTTTTTAAGCACAATTGCTTAACTCTTGCACAATTGCTCAACTCTTTTAAAGCATGTGACACTTCATGTTTTGTTGAATTGTTGTTTTCAACTGTAATTGATTAATCTGAGATCACCAAAATATAGACAACTTTCACAAAAACCTTAACAAAGAGGAAAGAATGTGTGTGCACCCACCTATTTATGTCCACCCTATAGAAAAGAACTATGTGTCTATGCAGTATAAGTTACCTGGGCTTGTGAATGTAGTTGCTGGCTGATAGCTGAAAGCTCCTCACTGGCCATTCTACAGCATGGGTGAGTTCCACATGTGAAATGCAAGGGTGGTGGTCCAGTTTGTGGCTGAGTCAGAACAGTACCCTCAATATTTATTCTGTCCACTAACAAATCAGCTGCAGGGATGGAAAATAATGAACTAGACCAATCTTGCAAGCATGGAAACATTCTAGCATTAGAGATATTTTTATTTGTTTTAATTGCTGAATATAAACTCCAGTTGCACTAATGATAAATCTTTTTGTTCCTTCCATCCCTCCTTTGTTTTGACAACTATTCCATAGTCTGACAACTACATCTGTTCAGATATTGATCATTACCTAAAATGTAACACATGGAAGTCAGAATGTTTATATTTTCCACTAAGCTTTCTATTTCAATCAGCTTCATACATTCAAACCCCAGTCAATTTAGACATAGAAATCATTTTTTATTCATTATCATTCTCTCTTAAGATTCATGTTAGTGTTTTAGTAAGTGTTTCTCAGTTCTCTATTTCTAAAAAACCTTTTTTATCTACTGGGTTCAGTAAGATTTTTATTCAGGCCCTTCTTCTGTCTTTATCTTTCAATTCTCTTGATGGTTATACTTTTGTTATATATATTCAACTCATTCTCCCTAGATTTAAGTCTCTCAATCCAGCCCATTATTTGTACTTTTCCTTATCCATGCTTGCACTCTCTCTCTCTCTCATGACTGCTACTACCCCTACCACCAGTATCCATTTTACAGTTACTCTTTCCTACGTGTAGGTTGATTACAGTAACTTTTCTTCTTTAACTCCTTTCTAGCCAACACCTTTCCTTTAGTCCCATGTTCTGTTTTTTGTTTTTTTAAGATTGCAAACCTATAGGAAAGGATTTGTTCTAACTTTGTTAGTTAGTAACTGATGACCTGGAAATTGGATTAAATTTCAGTTTTTAGAAGCAAAGCCTCAAACTGAAAAAGGAAGAAAAGCAAGATGGGGCAAATGGCATTGCCACTGATTAGATTTAGTGAACATTAAGAATTATCTGACTAAATCAAACCAAGTTCTATCTGAGGGATGGGGAACCTATAGCTTTTCAGATGGTGCCGTACTTCAATACTTTCCTTGCATGGCTGCCCTGCAAAGTATTCAGCTTCAAACACCAAGTAGGGTGCTGAAATCATAGTCATCTATTGTTTGCTTGAGAATGTACACTCAGTTGAATCTGAAGAGAGCTACCACTAGAATTCTAACTTCCCTTGCTGGAAATTTTTTGCAATTCAAGGAATTATATAGATCTCTATTTTCTAAGAGGTGTTCTGT